GCCTGTAAAGATAAAAAGAATATAACTCATCTCTAAGTTTCCATAATTATGAAAATGACTGAGATAAATGCAAGACAGGATTTACAGTGTTCTGGATTTGTCACAATTTTATCAATCTAATGATTGTTTGAATACCATTCAGCTTCTTCATATGCTTGCATCCAGTCTGCCCTTGGTAGGTTTTCTTGAAAAGCATCCCAATGTGCATATCTGGCAGAAATTTCCAAAGCAGCCGATGTGGATGGAAGTTCTAAGCAAGCCAATGATGAAGCTTTTTTTGCATTACTTGTCAGAAGGTTTGCAGCATTTATGTCTAGTTTCTTTTCTTTCATTTTATCCAATGTTTCTTGCATTTTTCCATTAGTTAAACTCTTTACAATATCTGATTGTATTTTAGTCACATACTCAAAGTCTTTGTAAAGTTTGGTTATGAGGAGAATATCATTTATCAGTCCAGATTGAGAGAATGTAAAACAAACTTTATGATAAATTTCTTCCTCATAATGTTTAAATACTGTATAACATTTTTTTGGTTTTGGCCTTTTATAATTGATGTCAGCCATAAATCTAATAAGTGGAAAGATTGATTTTTCAGGGCGTATATCTGAAAACTTAAGCTCATTCTGATGAGCTCTTAAAATTTTCAACAAAAGATTCTCTTCAGTTTCCTTTAATTCTATATCATCAATGGGATTTGTACTCCTATCTTTTTCTAATACATTTCTTACCAAAAGTGTCTCATCTTTGCTCAAGTAAGTGATTATGTTATATTTAGGTTCAACTAATTTGAAATGCCTCACTTTTCTTAACAAATCTTCACTTAAATTGACTGGAAGAGGTGAAAGTTTGCAAGAGTGCCAGATATTAAAACTAGAAAAGAGTAGAAAAAGAGGAAAATATTTTTTAAAAAAGGATTTGAAGCTGATATTCTTGATAGAATTAGTAGAGAAGACCATTATAAAGAGTGGAAGTAAAAGAAAATTAGAAACAGAGCTATACGAACGTTTAACGGAAAGATGAAAAAATCCTTATCTAAACTTGACCTTATATACCTTTTAGATGATGCATTTAGTCTTAATATTTTAGATTCACTTAGGCTAATGGATAATTTGGTTAGAGGACAACTTCAGCATCAATATTTTTAGAGTAACTCAAAATGAGGCTGTTACTAATTTGATAGGTAAGAAAGGATGTTCAAATCCCACTTTTTCTACTTTTGCATTAATACATGTAGTTCAGATATTCTTTGATTCATTTTGACTACTCTTGAATCAAGTTCATCTAAGAGTCACACTTAATGAGGCTGATGCTAACTTAGAGTATAACTTAAACTTAGGGTTTTCCCCAGGTTCATACTGAGGAATTAAGTAGTTTGATTGACAAGGGGAAGGAATATCTGGACCGAGTCATTCTCCTTTAGACCCTCTTCTGGGAGTTTTGGGGGTTGGGATCAAAAGATGTCAATAATTACTTGACCTGGTTGGTACCTTTCCGCGTCGGATTTGGTAACGCGTCAAGACATGGAGTATCTTGGCTGGGTCTGTTCGTGCTATTTTTTTGCGATTTGAAAGGACGATCAATCCAACAACCCCAACCCCAGCTCTTCCTCCCTTCTCGTTCAAGGAGGAAAGAGGAGCGAGAAAGAAGCGACTCTGGGGATCTGACTCACCGGACTGTGGAGAACTTGCAAGGTCGATTGGATGCCTTGTTGATGTCGGGGCTTGGACGCGGAAGGCACGGTAGGGAAATGGCGAAGAGGATCCCAACCCAACTCGACCGTGGACCAAAGTAGGAGTGAATCGGGAATCGACCGGCCCCGCTCTTAGCTGTGGTTTACCGACCAAGCGCGCGATGACGGCGGTCAAGGTAACAAGAGAGCAACATTCATTTATTACAGATGGATTCTCATCGTCGAGATGTGTTTGGTCGCATCCTCATCCTCACCCTCCCCTCCCTCAAGGCCACGGGGAGAGAGGGGGAAAGAGACAGGTGGAGCCACTCAGGGTCACTTCACTTTCGGTTTTTTTGGGGGGGGGGGGGGTTGGATGACATGGTAGCATGTGTTGGCATGTTTCTGATGGGGTTTATTGGCAATTCATGTGCTGCGAACGGTTCGATCCCCGCCCGCCCGCCCCACCTCCTTCTTTCTGGCCCCAACCCGCCTCTCAAACCTCTTTCTTCACACCTCTCCTCCTACCTGCCCCTCCACCTCCTTCTTGTCACACGCTATCGCCACCCTCCGCCATCTTTCCATCATCAGCGCTTGTTACCACACTTCCATTTCTCCTTGGTCTTCTCCGCCTCCTCCTCCTTCTTATGCTCTCTCCTCCCCCAGGCGCTCTGCCTCATGTAGGGGGACACACGCGCGCGCGCACACACAGCCCTGACTCTACTTAGCCACTCCCAAGAACGGACGACGAAGACGCATCCAACTATGATCCAGGACCTCCCTCCCGAGCTCCAGGCCCACATTGTCACCTTCCTCCCCTCCCGAGTCCTCGCTCGCACCGTCGCCAGGGTCAACAAGCACTTTGCGCGCATCGTCGACCAGCATGTACGCAGGTCCGTCCTGAACCTCCTCGCTGATCCCGACCACGAGTCGCGGAGGAAACCCGGCAGATCTTTGCTGGTGTTCGAGGCCCAGAGGCCCATCGATACTATCACCGCAAAGCACACGCTCTACTTCTCCCATTTCGGCGTCACCAACAGCAACCGTCCCACCTGCGCAGGCTCGGACGCCTACTACACCACCATCGCCCACTTCGCCTTCTCCCCCCTTGCCCTTCCGCAGCATGCCGATCAACAACCTCTCGAAACCGTCACAGAGGCCCCGGAGCGCGACACTCTGCCTCACCACCCCATGGCCAACTCGGCCGCTCCCATGACCGTGAGGGATGAGAGCCTCCCTCAGTACGAAGACGTCCACGACAACGAAGGAGTCGATGTTGCATACATCGCATCTCCCCCAGGTTGGCTCCAACCCATGCCTGACGACCACCCGTCTTGGCGAGAGCGAAGGATCAGGACGACGAACGACACGAGCTTAGGCTCCGGCCTGGAGAGCGACCAGGAAGCTAGCGATCCGAGCGCCGAGGCTGGGATGGAAGCCTTCCTCATGGCTCGCTCCGACCCAGGCCAATTCTACGTCTCCCCAAGCAGCGCGTCCGCCAGCTCCAAAGCCGCCTCGCGTCACCCTGCCTGCTACGCCATCCAGCTCGATCCCCTCGACAGCTTCGAGAGCCTCATCTTGACCCTGACCGTCAAGCGGAGGGTTGAGAACAGCCTCGGGGTCCTGGAAGCTGACCAACCCAATCCAACCCGATCCGTGGCGCAATTTCTTAGACATCAGAGGATTGTCGCCGAAGGCCTTGACCGGGTCTTTCGAGATTGGTTCCGACCCCCAGCTCCCACCGACGTCGGCTCCAGCCCCTTGCTCGGCGGCGGCGGCGGTGGCAGCCGCGAGGAGGAGCAGAGGCTGGCTTCTGCGGCCGCCCTCCAAACGCTCATGTCGACGTTCGGACCGATCAACCTCCTCGGAGGAGTGGGAGGTGGCGGCGGCAGTGCGAACCGGACCAGCTCGACATCGAGGGTCAGGGCGAGATCCACCTCTTCGTCTAGGGGCTACAACGACCCTCCGCCAAGGGTCTTGGAGTTCGACTCGTCGTCATGCACGCTGACCATCCAACCCCACCCTACCTCGAGGGCCTCGGCTTCCCACCCGGCGCTCTCCTCGCTCGAGTCCCACAACTACCTTTCCCAGGGATCTCTCTACTCGCACTACGCATCAACGCTCCACGACCGGTGCGAGCTGACCTTCCACTGCGAGAGCCTTGGAATCAACGCCGCCAGGCTCCTCTCGGTGCTCGAGCAGGTCGAGATCGACGTCATGGCAGAGACCATCAGGAACAGGAGGAACAGGTACTTTGGAGCTCCCATGTTCTTGGCAGGTGCCACCAGCTCCCAACTGATCATGATCGAGACGGTCACGTAAGGTCGGACTATTTTTTTCTTTTGAAAGAAACGTGGCCGTGTCAAAGCGATCCTAAAGTAGGTCCAAACCTTTGTCCCCGAAGCACCACCTCGCTCGATCGCTCAGAGTATCGTCGTACGCCTTGCCGAATTTCAGAATCGTCTCGAGCAGCGAAAGAAGTTGGTTGGATTGAGGTTTTAGGGAAGATGGGATCGAGAAAGGACGGAAAAGGTAAACCAAAGAAGAAACGACGACAAAACATTTTTCGGAGGTAGGTGATTCTACCTCTAAAGCGCCCTGCCTTGAACCTGGGTCGAACAGGTGACCTTCCGAAGAAACCCACACTCGGAGGAGGGGAATCGCAAACCGAACACCTTCAGTCGGACGCTCGTACCAACTGAGCTATCAGGGCGGATGCGAGAAGGAGGTAAAGTTTGAAGCCGCAACATGATTCAAACATTCAATTCACCCGGCTCACTCTGACCACGCCGAATTTCAGCGCGACATTTGCAAGATGATTCCTCTCTTGGCGTCTATTGCGTCTCAGGTTGCAAGATGGCGGGAAATCCATCCCACCGTGAGTGTCCCTCGGGGAAGGGAGAGATGTCTTGACGTTCCAGTCTTTTCTTTCATGATTCTTTCCTGTTTCGCACATTTTTTTGTGATTTTCAAACCCTCTTGAGTCGTTTTTCTCCCTCACTTTTTTTTCCTCGCCTCGCTACCCTTGTTACCCCTTTTCTTATGATCTATTTTTTTTCTTTCCGTTGCTGAATCGATCTTGCCCCTCGTTCTAGTGTGATGTAAAAGTAGCCTTTGGTACCCTTTTCCTTCCTCCTCCGACTTGTTCGAATCGAATAGACTCAGCTAATTCCCCCTTTCCCGGGCTTGAGACTCCCTCGTGAGGGGTATGGAGGGATCGGAGTGACTTTGAAAGTTGAAGTCGAACCCGTGATCGATACTTGGCTGATTTCGGTTTCGGTCCAGAAAAAAGGGGGCAAGGGAGAAAGGGAGAAAAAAAAGAAGACAACTTCTCCCAACGAGGGGCTCGAACCCTCGACATTCAGATATATTTCCGAGCATAATGACTCGGAGGCTCTTGTTTTACGTAAGAGTCTGACGCTCTGCCGACTGAGCTAGCCGGGATGAGAAGCTTGGCGTTCTGCTTTCCATAATGCGTATAAGAAGTTTTCGATGGATTTGAATAGGGCTGACAACAAAAGGCAAGTGGAGACGGAGGAGCCAGAGGAGGCTGGTCTTTCTTCATGGTCGACCGGAATGAGCGAGGTAGGGATGGGGTGGGAGGTTTTCGTCTTGTACAAGTTAAGCGCCGCCCTCCCCGATTCCAAGCTTCTGCTCTCCGCTTTCCCTCATTTCCCTCATTTCCCTCATTTCCCTCATTTCCCTCATTTCCCTCATTTCCCTCGCTCGATTAGAGCGAGTCTTCGCAATCCCACTGGTTGTCATCCTCCCCAACTCGTCCGACACACCAAGACTGAGCAAGGAATCAAAAAGGGGTTTTTTATTTTTTATTTTTGTTACATCGGGCACGGGGGAGGAGCACTGAGTGGGAAGGAGACGGGGGAAAGTGTGATGGATACGAGATTGACTATTATTACAATTTTTTTCATGAGAAGGCCCCCCCCCCCCTCTCCACCCCTCCTTTTATCTTTTAACCTCCTCTTTTCTCTCTTCTTCCATGTCGACTGATGCGCTCCTGAGTAGAAGTCATTCATCAGTGCCAAGGTGTTGCTTTGGTGGGCAAGGGTTGAAAAGACCGTGATGAGGGAGTCCAGTAACGTTCCTTGAATCATCACTCCTTCCTTCGAAAAACCTCCATCATCAGGCGCTCGAAAGAAAGATGCCACTTTCCTCCAAAGCATCGAAAGGAAGGGTAGGTCTCCTAGCTTTGCGAACTAGGCGAGACCCATCGAACATCGTTTTTGTCTTTGCCGCCCATCGCCATGCGGTGGTGTCTGGCCGCACCAAATTTTGATGCTTTTTCGAAAGGTCCCCCCCCCATCCCTCCTTTTCCTCTGCCTCTGCATCCTTGCATCTTCTACACTACGCTCTTTCAATCGGTTTCAGCTTTGGCTTCACCAGGTTTCTCTGCCGGTGCGGGTCTCGGCGGATCCCGGAACAGGTAGTTGCACCTGCAACAGACGTAGAAGAGGATCATTTCTGCCAGGGAAAGAAGAGGAAGAGCGATTCAGAGGCAGGGTGAGAGGTATGTTCGAGGAATGATCGTTGGAAGGCGACTTGGAGACAAAGGAGTTGGTTATGCGTGGACTTGATATGGATGATTCTCACTATTTAGGATACGTTTGCTCTGATCTTGGAAGACGACAGCTCTGCGCACCAGAGACGGGGAGGGGGAGGGGGAGGTTAAGGAACATGATCAGCTCCCAAACAATCTTTTGAGCAATCCTTCGACGAAAGGCCTAGTGGTGAAGACTAGTGGAAGCGGGATATCCAAAGCTCAACCTCTCGACTCACTCGCTATGGGCGCATTCAGGGCAGGTCAGTTCCTGAGTCCTGGCCAGCGTTGGATCCTTCATCAAGTTGTCAATGACACCAGGTTGTTCCTGAGGGGTCGGAGCAAGTAAGAAGAGCCGTGGCGAATCCACAACGATTCGAGCGAGGGGAGAGAGCACGAAGTGCTTGCGGTTCAGAGTTGCCCGACAGGATGGTAGTAGGCGGCGCAAAGTGGAACTCAGAAATGCCCACCTTAGAGATACTCATCAAGTCATTCCGGTAGACCATCGATTCTCTAGACTCCTCGCTGTAGTTGCAGTTCCTGCAGGCATACAAGAGGACATGATTGTTCCTATCCACCTCTGGGTATAGCAAGTTGTTGCTTTTACGCGGGAATAGGACGGAAGATTTGAGGAGAGGGAATGAAGTTGGGGAAGGAGACGTTGCGGTGAGCCATCAGTGCAGAATTAGGGAAGGCAAGCGATGTCAACTTTGGGAGCTGCTCACCATTCTGCGCAGAAATTGAGTGACGCCATTTCCCTGTGAGTGAGCCCCCAAAAGCTTGGCCGTAGCTTGTATGCTCTGAGGTCTGCGTCGATGAGCGATGAGCTTGTGCACGTAGAGGTGAGGGGTGTGTGGAAGTGGCGCCGAAGTTTGGAGTGGTGATGATTGTTCGTTTCTTTTCTTCTTCTCTTTTGTCTTTCGGCGACAGTTTGAAGGGATGGAGATTGGTTGCGAGCAAAGGCTGGTGGTAGGCGAGTGTTGGTGGAGAGAGGAAGAAGGAGATGGACAGAGGGAGGGATGAGAGATTGTGATTACGTAAAGGTGTATGTCGCTCTCGCACGGAAGGAGAGAATGGGAAAGGAATGGCGCGAAAGAGAGGAAGGAGATCAACACTCACTCACTCACCACCGCACAACCCAACCCAAACCAAACCCCCGTTCTCCCGCGGTCAGTGCTCAACCCAACCAACACAGCCCACCCAAAGCCCACACACAGACGGACTCACGTTCATTGATTCACTCGTTCACTCAAGACCGTTTGAGGGAACCCCTTCACTCTCCCTCACCTGCTGTGACCAACCATCACGCCAAGCCAAGCAGCATTCATTCACTCAACCTGCGATTCGTCCTTACTTCCCTCGTTCTTCCTTTCGTTTCCGTTTGTCTCGCTGCTTCCAACCAAGTGATTCTCTTCCCCCTTTCGTCGCTATCATGGACGCTACAGTAGAATCCCTCAGGCAGAGGTACCGGCAAGCTGGGCAAGACCACCTCTTCACCTTTTTCGATTCCCTCCAGGAAGAAGAAAAGGCCCAACTCGTCCAACAGCTCTCCAAACTCGACGTAGAGAGGGTCAACCAAGTCTTCCAGACCGCCATCAAGGCCGATGAATTGGCAAGGACGGCAAAGTCATCCAGCATCCAACCCCCGCCCCACGAGAGCGTCGAGAGCACCATTGGTGAGGCCAACGCATCCAAGGCGAAATCTTTCGCTCAGATCGGCTTTGATGCCATAGCTAAAGGCGAGGTCGGCGTACTGCTCATGGCCGGCGGCCAAGGCACAAGGCTAGGATCGTCCGCACCAAAGGGCTGCTACGACATTGGCCTTCCCTCCGCGAAGAGCCTCTTCCAGATCCAGGCCGAGAGGATCATCAAACTTCAACAGCTCGCCGCTTCCAAGGCTTCCGCCCAGGGATCGAGCGTCGTCCTCCCTTGGTACATTATGACCTCGGGCCCCACCCGGAGTGACACCGAGGCCTTCTTCCGAAAGCACAGCTTCTTTGGCCTTGACGAAAAGAACGTCGTCTTCTTTGAGCAGGGTGAGTATTTTTTTTCTCTTCTTCCTTTCCCTCCATCTGCTCCTGGTATCCACGCATACAAGGACCAGGGTCATCGAGACACAGGATCGCCGCCTGGCTGAAAAGAAAACAATACGCTGGTGATCCTCCTCCCTTTCAGGCACGCTTCCATGCCTTTCTTTGGATGGAAAAATCTTGCTCGAGTCAAAGTTCAAGGTCGCCACAGCTCCTGATGGAAACGGAGGTCTCTATAGGGCTCTGAGAACCCCTTTCAAGTGCGGTAGCAGCGAGACTGTCATCTCTGACCTCGAGAGACGAGGAATCAAGTTCCTCCACGCTTACGGAGTCGACAACTGCCTGGTAAAAGTCGGGGATCCCACCTTCATCGGCGTTTGCCTCGAAAAGGGGGTCCAAGCTGGAGTCAAAGTCGTGAAGAAGACGGACCCCAAGGAATCCGTCGGAGTCGTCGCCCTCAAGGATGGCAAGTTTGGCGTGGTCGAGTACTCGGAGATCCCGCAGGAGCTCTCCGAAGCCAGGGAGGAGGACGGCAGCGGCCAGCTGGCCTTCCGAGCAGCCAACATTGCCAATCACTTTTACACCACCACCTTCCTCTCCAAGGACGTTCCAGCGTTCGAGGCCGAGATGGCATTCCACATCGCTCGCAAAAAGATCCCCACCATCGACCTCTCGACAGGTGAGAGCGTCAAGCCAACCACCCCGAACGGGATGAAGCTTGAACTCTTCGTCTTCGACGTCTTCCCGTTCTGCGACAAGCTCGCTGTACACGAAGTCGAGAGGAAAGAGGAGTTCAGCCCGCTAAAGAACGCGAGGGGCACTGGCTCGGACGATCCAGACACTTCGAGGAGGGACCTCTTGGCACAGCAGAAGAGGTGGTTGGAGGTTGCCGGAGCCAAGGTCGCCGAGGGTGCCGAGGTCGAACTGAGCCCGCTCGTTACGTATTCGGGCGAGGGCCTGGAAGCTTTCCAAGGGAAAGTCCTTGAAAGCGGCAACATCGAGCCATGATTGCTCTCTCCAACCACATGGTGATCACCTCGATTCTTTCCATTTTACTTATTTATTTTTTAATTCACCGACACGATCTAATGAAGATCACTCTTGCGGAACAATACCTTACGATTCCACCCTCTTTATTTTCCATTCCACCTTCTCCCTTGTTTCCGCTGTCTGGGGAGATGTCGAGGAAATCAAGAAGGAATCACAGCTTGTCTGCAAAGAAGCGAATAGGAAAAGATCATCACTTTCCTTTTGATTTTATTCGTCTGATCGTCTGTTCCTTTGGAGGAGAAAATCGGAGGGTGCATTCATGAACAGGTGTCGATGGTGCTCGCAAAGGGGAACAGATTCCACATCTAGCGTGTGTGCATGTATGCCCAGCATCTCGGTGTTCATGGGTCTCGACGAGGAGGAAAGTGCCGGGTGCGCGTTCGTCCGTCCCCCCCTAGCTCGGCTTCTACTCTTAGTCTGTATCTTCCTGGTGTTTCAATTTCCCTCCTCCTCCTTCTTCCCCTTTTCCTCACACAGCAAGGGATAGGACACACGTTGACATTCCTACGGATGTGATGTTTCGTGTGCACCAAGAAACCCCCTTGGTCCATGGGAACAGAACTTGGGATATGCGAAGGGGGGGGAAGAGGGGAGTTGGATTCAATCGATCCTCAATCCCAAACGTCGACACCTCTCCCTCCTGTCAGCTTCCCTAGCCCATTCCCTCTCCTTGTCCCTTAGATAAGCCTGAAATCCATCCAAAGCCACGGTCGAGTCTATCTGAGAGGCCGCTTGGACCCCTCCTCCAACGAAGAGTTGGGAAGAACTGGACTCGAACTCGGGACCTTGAACGATCCTACTGATGAGTT